CCCCTAATTGCATCCTGAAATACTGAGGTACTTTGAGTCTTCAAACATCAAAATACTTTGAAAATACTCTGAGCTACTTTACATGTTTTAACTGGTGCTAGTTCCTATAGACGGACTCTGCTTTTTGTCTGGAGCTTTAAAAAGTTTTCTTTCTGTACCACCCAGCACACTTCCATAGCGTAGCTGCTGGGCTGAGTATTGTGTTTCCCCATTCTCGCCGATGTGGTGGGAAAAGGCTTTGCTCACTGAGCCTTTTATGTTAGTTCATCCTATTAAAGCGCCTTGCTTTGTTGTCCTCTGAACCCTCTTTAATGCCTCTGCATTTTTCAGCAAGTTTAGTGAAAAGCAAAACTTCACCCTGGATCATTAGAGTCCTGACTAGAGCCACATTCATTCCCTCATGAACCATTTCAAGTTGAAAGATTCAGTATTCCTTCACTATCACCTTGTGATAGTTGTGCAAACAAGTTCCTCCCCCTCACATATGTTATTTGTTAAAAAAAAATAAAATACATTTTTGCTTGGGAAATGGACATTCTCTGAGACAAAAGTTAATCTGAAATATTTTCTCACATTTGCAACACGAAATATAAAAACACTAAGAGAACTGATAAAATGCAAAATGTATCGAATTTCTGAGCAGAAAAAAAAAGAAAAAGTTGTTACACTTTTTGGAGTTGTGGGCTGCTTTGAATTAACATCTCTGTGCCAACATAAAGGATTTGTTCAAAAGGTGCATGGATCAAATAACCTTGATCAGAGAGAGAAAATACACACTAGCTGCAAGCAATTTATCTTTTGCCTAAACCAGCAGTAGAAGTGGGAGTTGGATGGAAATAAAAAACATCTAAAGTGCCTGGTTCACATGGATTCCTTGTGCAACAGGCATCAAAGTGGTCAACAGATTAGAAGAAATCGTTAGACCATTGTTGTGTCTTCCCTGAAAGCAAAAAAGATAACAATGCAGACTGTGGTGAGTTGTTTTTCAGCACTTCTTCAGAATGTGTTTTCCAACTAACATCTTGATCCTTCTTCCAAACCGTGAGGATAGAGTTGAACATGTTGCTAGATTTTTTTTCTTCCACTTAAGAGTAACTAAGCAGCATCCAGCTCATCAAAGTGCAAGGAAATACTGCAAGTAACTGGGTAATAATTGAACTGGCAGACTCTCCCCCCAATTCAAAATTAACATAGATACCACCTCTTTGAATAGTACCACAAAATTCAAAGTATTCACTTGTAAACATCCTTGTGTGTCTATTATATATATCTTTTGTGGGAGGGTTCCCGAGACCTTACCCACAGTTGCTCAGGAAAGAGTTACAGAACTAAGGATAGAGTTCACAAGTGAAAATCCTCAAAATCCTCAGCTTTGTGTCTGCATTACCAGAGAGGATTCCTTCATTTCAAGTGGAAAATATCAGACTGTAGTCCAGCTCTCCTCTCCCCACCCCCAGCCACAATCCCAGATTGTCCCCGATGTCTGTTCTCTCAGTCACAATCTCGTGCCAAATCCAGTTTTCACATCATGAACATTTTTATTGCACATTCTCTGTAACCATATAAATTCTATTTCTATTGCTTAAAGCAATTCACGCCCCCACCTTCACATTATACAGCTGTAGGTGCTCAGTGTGGGCAAGAATTTGTCTGAGACACTATTCCAGCAATTTTTATTAGTATGCTGCTAAGTAAAAAAGTCTTGGCTTATGCCAAGTATATCATTGTTTAAGAGAGCAAAACTACCTTTAGCAGTCAGCTCAGGTCAGGACCTCTAAGTGTCAGCTGTGGCTTACACCAGATTTGTCACAGGTAGCGATACAGTTTTCATCAATGATTTCACAAAGCCCAGCAGATAATTTTAACCCAGTATTTATTCAGTGATTTCCCTCTAGCCTGTGTTTTCCAAATGTCCATTTGTTTTCAAAGCTGTGCAGTCAGTATTTTGAGCCCACTTTTAGCTGAGTGGAGTGATTCTGAATAAACGCTGCAAATGCTACATACACATCTTAATATTTAATGTGGCTTTGGTCACACATGTTTCCGATGAGCCGTTTTTATGTATAGTTACTGTACCGTGCACCTACAAATGGGTCTTCTCCAAGCAGTAATTCACAAAAGCTCAAAATAAATACTGGCCTTTGTGTCAGGTTTCCATTATGTGAGTACTAACCCAGGCTGGTGAAAGGTTCACAGAGGGTTGACGGAGCTTTGTGAGCTCTGCTTTATTAGGACTTTTCCATGCCGGAGCACTCCTGGGTGTGGCTGATGGGATTTCCTGCCTTTTGTCCCATGAAGGTAGCACGGAAGGTCCAAGTGCAAGGAAACACTTCCTGCTTCACTCCCAAATAAGATTTTTCAGCAGAGTAAGAGACTGGAAAAGTTTGTGAGAGCAGATTACAGGAACTTAAGTTAGATGGATTCTGTTTGGGTTTTTTGTTTCTTAAATCTTGACAGTTCAGTTGTATTGGATTAATTTCATTTTCCAAGATAAACAGTATAAGGAATTATTGAAACACGATAGCTGTTTTCCTAGCAAATTTCATCGGGGAATTTCCAGCATTTCATAGCTGAGCAGGTTACATAGCTCTGGTTTGCATATCCACATTTTTGGGTGCTTTGTCAGTTTGACCCTTTTTACAACATCTGACAATGCCTCAGACCATACAAAATTGAATCAGTATTGAGGTCTTCCAGGCCAAATTAGGAAATAGGAAATGTTACAGTTGGGCAATCCCTAAATTTCTTAGTTGACAGAGTAAGAAAAGGATGGATAACAGTATTTTTACAATTTTCTGTTCCCTAGTTTTAGTCCTGGCTGCCTGTGGTGTACAGCATGCCCAAGGTTAGTTCCTGCTGAGCAGTCTGTGGGGCATTCGGGCTGCAGCCCCTCTGTTGCCCAATGTACACCCTGCTACAACTGGCTCTCACAGAGGCATACCTAGTCAGGGAGTTGCCAGGGAAGCAACAGAGAGATTTTATGATAATTTTCTATCCCTGTTCTATTTCTTGCACTGGAAGAGCAGCTAGGAAAAAGAATAAACATCAAAGGGCCAGGTTACTCTGAATAATTGAGGCTATTCTATTTCAGAGAGACATTTGGTATAATGCACCTTTTCAGTCCTCAGTTCATTTTCTCTGCCTGTTTGTCACACGGCCAACACCAGGACAAAGCTCCACACCCTTTCCATGCACACAGAAGGGAGGCTGGGGCTGGAATGGTGCTTTCTACATTGGACCCTTCAAAACTGTGCACAAGACCTTTGGCCTAACCTGCTGGTATATGGGAATGCATGGCCCTGGCCAAGGAGTTGCAGAGTTCTCCTGCAGGAAGTTAGGAACAGTACAAAATGGCCTGCCTTTATTTTTTCATGGCAGGAACCCCTACTGTTATTAAGGTTATTATTTTATTACAGTGATTGTTCCCTGAGTCTTGTCTACATGCATAGATGTGGCCTGTCTATGGAGGAAGCAAGTTTCAGTCACCATGATCAAGAGTGTAGGAAATGCTTCCCATGGCCCAGTGCCACACTCTGGTGCGTGCGTGTCTTTTATTGCATGAATTATGTAGGGCTTTGAGTTCTCTACGAAAACTGGGCTCCCGTCTCACAGTCACCTCCACAGGGGAAACAGTCATTTTCCAAGAAGGCCCACAGTGCAATTAGATGGGGCAGATAAGCAAGGGATACAGAAACAAAGGCAAAGCGAAGGGAAGTGACTCACCTGTGGGCTATCAGCTATGACTACGGAAAGGCCAGTGGTAGTCACGAGGGGTCAGTGGCACAGCCATGCTGATATAGCTCATCCCTTGTCACATGTGGGACAAACAACCTTAATGCCCATAAGGCTTCAGGAGCAGAAGGGCCCCGGTCCTTTGGATAAAAACACCTCTACAAATTCAGATGTCCCTGTGCATTGCCTCATCCCTGTACATTGCCTTTATTTACTCACTGGGAGCACAACGAGGGCTTAACTTGGACTTTCATGGTTTATATACTTGTGGTGCTCTGCACAGAAGTGACTTTATCCCTGGGACAAAGCAGTGCTTTCCCTCATGACTGTCAGCACCCAGAGTACACCATCCCTGCCCAAATGAAGGCCTGAGCCAAGAGACACTTTATCTTGTACACAAATACAGATTTGCCATTTTTTCCAGCTTTGCTCAGGTCACTAATTAAAAGCCTAGGAAGTGAGCACACATGAAATCATTCCTTCCGTACAGGCAGACAGATGGAGAGAAATTCCAGCCTGTTTCCACTCTTTTGTCTTCAGGGCATTTTTGGAATTTCCTTCAGGAAGTGAGGTTATGACCCAGAGCCTTCCTCGGTGAGTAGGCTCTCGTTTCCCACAGTAAACCCTGCACAGTGATGACATAGAGTACGAGAAGGTGAGGTTTATCTTCACACTCCAACTGCATCCTGTATGAGCTCCATGGAACTTAAAAGTAATGCTGAGAGGCAACAGCCGCAAGAGAGGAAATGGAAGTCAAGCCTTTGGAAGAAGTAACGCAGCATCTATTCCACTCCATTGCCATGGTCTTCACTGGTGGACCCAACGGAGCTGCAGTGCTTGCAGAGTTGAGGCCACCATTCGGTGTTTCATATAATTCCTCCATGTTTGCAATAAACTAAGAATTACACTTACGAACCATACTGGTGAAACAAGTGAATTATTTCACTTATTCTGCTCTAGGCAGTCACGGTAAAACTGGTTTTCCTTCTGTTTGTACTTCATTAGCTGTTGGAGAAGGATTGCTACTCCAGAGATTTTTCTAATGGCATTCCAGTAATACACCATATGCTGATGAAAAAGTTATAGATTAGTATTCATTCTGTATTTTACATGATCCTGTGACATTATGCATTTTGTGTCCCCACAGAATTGACTTAATCCCAGCATGTACTGAAATCAAGGAATTCTTTCAGTGGCTTCTATCAACAAAAAAACACACCTGGCATGAAACCACCACAATAATACAAAACTACTAGTAATCTGATAACAGAATCTTTTAAAAAATCAGTTTATTAATGTTTAGAAGTCAATAAAGCTATGTGCAAATTGAACAATAAAAGTCAGAAACATTTTAAATACTATTTTTTAAACCAGAAAAAAATCCAATAGTTTAATTGCACTGGAAATTTTACTACAAAGGCAGTACATTTTCTTTAAAAAATACACTTCTAGGATTTGCCAATAACTGTAAATCAGTCACTTTCTCTCTCAGCTATTCCAGATATACCACTTTTGTTATAGCAATACTCTAGGCGCATGAAGACTCCTGCATCTTATTAACTTATTTACATTGTACACATTCAACCCCATTAGAACAGGTTAGAAAAATAGAGGAGTAAAAATGATGCTGTAAAACAAATACATTCAATTTAATGACAGGTACTTCTTCCGTGAACTGATAAAATACAGACATCTTTGCTGAAATTATAAACATTAATAAAATGTGCCAAAATGTATTGCATTTTGTTATGGAAGTGCATTTATCTATAGTCATTTCACTTCAACTTTCCTTTTATTTTTCTGAAACTCAAGGTACTCTTTTCAGATTTTCCAGCCGATCTTTACTTTCGACAGGCTTTTAACCTAACACTGAAATGCCCCTTCAGTTTTTAGCTCTTCTTACTTAGGCAAAAATCCTGCTGTTGTCAATACTATTTTTTACTATTATGTATACTTTCAGTCATCTTGAAGAGAAATGACACTTAGTTCTACCTTGCGTTTTTCATGATAATGCAGTTGATTTAATGCTATAAAATAAAAAGGCAATCAATGTATGGGGCCAAATGCTGTTCTGAGCTACTCCATAAAATCTGACGCAGTCAATGGAATTGTACAGGTGAAAGTAACTGCAGAACCTAGCTCATGGTCTTCAAATGTAATATGGACTGACAGCAAAAATTCACAGCTATGATCTTGCTAAATAAAACCCCAACAGCTTTGGACTCTGCAAATTAAACCTTATGACTTAACTAAAAACTCTGCAAAGTGATGCCAAATTACGGTTGTATGTGGTCTAAATTATATTTTTGTGATCTCTTTCCATGTTATGTGCTAAACAAACACTTCTAACCAATGATACCAGAGCCACCACTAAATTCGGTACAGAAGGATCTTTGTGTCAGTGGTTTGCTGCAAGGAGAAAAAACTTCACATTCTTCTCAGATGGGAAAAAAAAAAAAAAAAGATTAATTCTCCCTTTCCCTCCTCCCCCTCTCTCTTTCTCTCACACACACCAGGCATCATTTCACCAAGGCATCAGTCTTTCAGAGTTACTAAGGAGATTTCAGGATATGAATGCGCCTGACAATCCTGAGCTGCCTCAGTGCAAAGACAAAACATGCTCCAGGAAAAAAAGACTTCCAAGCCAGAACAGTCTGTCCCATTTCTTGAACTCCAGCCTCACAACTGCACCGTTTGCCTCATTAGAACTAATGCTACTTGCTCACTCAGCCCAATGCTGCTCCTGTGAGCAGGAGGCATCCCAGCTCCCCCACTTCAGAGCAAGGCTCTGAAATACACCCCTATAGTTATTCCTAAGAAGATGAGGTAACATTGCCCGAAGACATGATGGTTTCAGGATGGTCACCGTCCTCCTTCTGTGGGTGTGAGGAGTTGTCAGACTTACTCCGGCTGAACTCCATCCCTCCAATGATCGGCCTCTTGAATTTGGTCCCAGAATCCGCTGGGGGACATTTGCAGCAGCACAAAATCTTGATGAAAGCCCTGCGCATCTCTTTGTTTGTCAGGGTGTAGATGATAGGGTTCGTGGCTGAATTGAGCACGGCCAGCACTAAGAAATACTCTGCTTTATAGAGGATTTGGCAGGTCTTCACTTTACATCCCACATCCAGTAAAAGCAGGATGAACAGAGGAGCCCAGCAGGCAATGAAGACACTCAGGACTATGATCACTGTCTTGAGCAAGGCTAGTGACTTTTCTGAGCTCCTAGTAGCTTTGGTAATGTTTTTCCGAAATGTCAGCCTGCGGCTCCTAGTCCTCACCATGGAGTAGATCCTGCAATACAGGACGACAATAGATAGCAAAAGGCCAGTGAAAACGGTTGTGCAAAAGAGAATATAGTGCTTGTGGTAGAGAGGCAGCACGGTGGAGCAGTTGGACAAGAGGCTGATGCAGTTCCAGCCCATGATCGGGAGCCCCCCGAGGATCACGGAGATAACCCAGCAAGCGCTGATCAGCAAGAAGGAGCGGAAGCTGTTGCTGCCATTGTGGAGTTTCATCTTCAACATGGTGATGTATCTCTCAATGGCAATGGCCAACAAGCTGAACACAGAAGCTGACAAGGCAACAAACATGCTGCCTTCTCTTACAAACCACTGGGAGGGTGTGAGGCTATAGGTTTTGTGTCCAGATAGCAGGAGGTTGGCAGTGTAAGCCACACCAGCCAACAAGTCTGAAAGAGCCAAGTTCCCAATGAAATAGTACATGGGTCTGTGAAACTTCTTGGTTTTCCAGATGGTAAGCAAGACAAAAATGTTCTCTAAGATTATAAAGCAGCAAATGATGATAAAAACCACCGACGTCACTTTAATTCCACTGTCCACATTCTCATTTAGCTTTCCCGTGTAATTATAATGCTCTTTGATGACATAGTTGACATCAGTGTTGGCCGGGTTGCTCATGACCTTCAGCGGGGCAGTGGTGCCAGAGCTCATGGTCCCGGCTGGCGCTCCTTCCCCAGCGGCACCACACGGTGACACCAACTGCAAACCCGGGGGCTGCCCCGCAGAGCCTTGGCCCCGCAGCCTGCCCGGTGCTGCTGCACGGCCTCAGAAACTGCAGCCCTGAGAACAAGAGGCACAAAGCCCAGAGTTAAAAGAATGAAGGCAAACAACGTAAAAAATTATAAAGGGTTTAAGATAATCTGCTAGTTTAATTGTGTATCAGAATCATATAGGTATGCACACGTGAACCAGTTTCATTCAGCTACTAAAATACATTTAAAAGATGGTTAGGCATATTCAATAGGTAAAGTTAATAAGACAAAAAAGTTCTGTCACTCAGAGCTGAACAGGTAAACTGGAGTCAGCAAGGACTGCATTACTGGACTTTTTCCAACTCAAAAGATCTCAAAGCTGCCCAGCAATAAGTTCTAGCCTTCTTTTTTTCACTAGGAAATACAACTTGTAATACAACAGCAGAGATTTAGAAAGGGAAAGGGCTTGCTTGATTTAACTGCAAATGTATGAAAGCCTGCACAGAAATTACTTGACAGGAGACCTGTACTCTCCTCCATTAATAAAGCCTGAAAGCACTTTGGAAGGGGGTAGTTATGCAATTTACTGATGCCATCTCAAACATTGGTAAATTCACTGATGTGTATGTAAACAAGAGATCATCTCAAAGCTGTAAACAGGTAAGGGGTGCCCTTGCTAAAGACAAGTAAGAACGTGCTTTAAAAAAGCCACAGCAGTAAAAGTTTAGAAAAGCAAAAAAAATATGTAATTAAGCTACAGCGCAAGCCCATTCCATTGGTTTGAAACAAAGAATGTCAAAAAAACCCTTGCATTTAAATAACTAGTATTGCAAGCTTTTGAAATCGGCATGATTAAGGAATACACATATAGAGCAAACTGCCTTTACATATAAAGGTTTTGCAGTGGACATTTAAAAAGAATTAAAACTCAGGTATCATGCAAGGGAAAAAGAACAGCAGGCAGAGTTGTTAAATTACAGCCTAACCAGGGCAGAGCAGGAGGTCCGAGGCCAGTGGGTTCAACTCCTCGCTCTGTTCCCGAACTCCAGTTCGCACCGCTCCCGGACTCCAACCCGCACCGCTCCTGTCCCGCACCGCTCCCGGGCTCAAACTCGCCCCGCTCCTGTCCCGCACCGCTCCCAGGCTCAAACTCGCCCCGCTCCTGTCCCGCACCGCTCCCGGACTCCAACTCGCCCCGCTCCGGTTCGGTCTCTACCGTGCGTGTTTCCCGTCCCGCACCATCTCGGCCGGACGAAGCCCCCGGCCGGGCACGGCGCGGCCCGGGCAGCCCCCCCTCTCCCCTCGTTTTGTTTCGGGGTCCCGGGGGTCGCGCCGAGCGAGACCCGCAGCGCCGGGATCCCCGTGCGGGCGGAGCGCGGCTCCCCGAGCCTCACCTCGCTCCAGCGCGGCGCGGAGCCCCGGCCGCCCTGCGCATCTTGCGTGCCCGCGGAGCAACTCCGGTGGGCGGGCTGGGGGCTCGGTTGGTTTTAATGTTTCTGCAGCTGCCGCGCTCCACCCTTTTCCGACCCTCCTTTCTAACTCTCCCTGCTGCGTCGGGACCTGCACGGCCCAAGCCGCCCCGCCGCCCCGCCCGGCGTGAGCACTGTGGCGCTGCTGCGAAGTGCTCCCCCCGGGACCCCCCGGCCCTGCCCGGCCGGAGGAGGAGGGGAAGGGACCGCGGTCTCGCCCAGCCGTGCCCGCCCGGGAGCGGCCGCCGCCGGCCGCTCCGGGCGAGGAGGAGCCGGCAGGGCCCGGCCGGCTCCGAGCGCGGTCCCTACGCCTCGGGGATGCGGGGGCAGATTCCCGACCCTCCGGCTTTCTTTACCCCCGACTAGGCACAGCAGGGCTATGGCCATATGCCACCTCCGTCCTGAATCTCCCAGGACCTGGGAAAGGAAACACCTGGAAGAGGCTCTTCCATTTTCCCACTTCACCAAGGTGTGTTTTTGCCCTGACAGGCCCGGTGGCTGCCACCCGCACGCTGGCCTGCAGCCTCCTGCGGCGCTGGGTGACTCAAGAGCGGCTCCCCCCGGGCAGGCACCGGCCCGATGGGGCAAGGATGGTGCCAGGCTGCACACCGGAGAGGCAGAAGCCAGCACTGACCCATGGGGGATAAGCTCACTTTCTGCCACTCAAACAGCACCAGGTGTTGGTGTTTTCACATTAAAAAAAAAAAAAATCTATGCATGTTCAGAGGATGCTGTAAAATACCTACATGTTTGAAAATATGAAGAGAAGTTTTAAATTCATTTTTTTAAAAACAAAATTGGCAATGGCAACTACTTACAGTGGTAACAGAGTTATTACACAGAGACAGAGAAAGAAGTGAGTTTACGTTTTATAACTCCTTCTCTCTTCAAACTTTTAAAAGAAAAAGCACCTTGGTGTATGTGAAATGCTAACTCTGGTGGTAATCTATCGTTACACTTACTGCAGAAATTTTCTTGTTCCTTCCTCTGTTCTTGTTAACTCCAAATTGAAATGCAAACAAATATCACAATACACCAGAGCTCAATATATCAGGTCTTTCAGTTCATAGCATCACACTGGTCAATTAGCAGCAGCAGTTGTTATGGGGAAGCAGCTTTCCTCTGAAAGACAGTAAGAGTACTCTACCCTCAGGAAGAGGGTAGAGGGTCCCTCTCTTATTTATGCTAATAGTCACGCTTCAGTTGTTCCACGCCTCTCCCAGAATGACTCAGATAAATTACACTGGCAAACAGACATTAACTCTTCCACCACAAAGCTAGAAACTTGAAAAGATGTTTAGCCTCCTGAGAGCCTGGAGGAAAATACAGCCGTTAAGTTACAACTGTCAGAAAAGGCATGTGAAATAAATCATGCTTGAGGCTGACATATGCATCCCCTGCAACTGCCTGACATACCCTAGATATTTCAAGCTTTCCCCCTTGTTTAGCTAATATGTAGAAAATACTAAATAAAAGTGCATTCACTGGGGATTTCCCTCTAGGAAGTAATTCCCACCTAATTTTAAGCAAGAGGAACATATTAAAGGAACATGCTTTAATTAAAGGTTAGAATGACTCAGGGTTTCATTAGTCAGGTGTACAGGCTTTCATTTTGGGGCTACTGGTTACCAACTGAGAGAACTCCAATTCAGAGATGTTACATTCAACAAATTAATTTTCAGAGGCTGTGTAAAATCATAGAAACATAGAATGGTTTGGGTTGGAATGGACCATAAAGATCATCTTGTTCCAACTCCCCTGCCATGGACAGGGACACCCCACTAGGCCAGGATGCTCAAAGCCCCATCCAACCTGGCCTTGAACACTTCCAGGGATGGGGCATTCACCCTTTCTCTGGGCAAGCTGCTCCAGGGCCTCACCACCCTCACAGTAATGAATTTCTTACTAATATCTAATCTAAATGTATTCTCAGTTTGAAGCCATTCTCTCTTGTCTTGTCACTACATGCTCTTGCAAAAAGTCCCTCTTCCAGCTTTCCTGTAGACCCCCTTTAGGTACTGAAGGGCCACAATAAACTAACCCTGGAGCCTTCTCTTCTCCAGGCTGAACAAACCCAACTCTCTCAGCCTTCCCTCATAAGAGAGGTGCTCCAGCCCTGTGATCATCTTTGTGGCCCCCTCTGGACCTGCTCCAACAGGTCAATGTCCTTCCTGTGCTGGGGACCCTAGACCTGGACACATTACTCCAGGTGGGGTCTCACCAGAGCGGAGTAGAGGGGTAGAATCCCCTCTCTCAGTGCTGGCCACGCTGCTTTTGATGCAGCCCAGGACACGGTTCACTTTCTGGGCTGCAAGCTCACATTGCTGGGTCATGTCCAGCCACTCATCCACCAGCACTCCCAAGTCCTTCTCCATCCCTGGGGGTTGCCCCACCCCAGGTGCAGCACTGGGTAAAATACACAGGCAATTTAAGTTCCACTTCAAAAGGTTGGGTATTTGTATCACAAAAAGCATCATTAAAATTAGATGACCACACACATTTACAGCCCTCTTGACATCTCAACAGAGAAAACTGAAATACAGCTTCACTCTTCTCGGCCAAATGAAGCCAGATCAGCTGGATTTGCACTGAAAACTGTCTAAATCCTCAGAGATGATAGGTTAACATGGCTCAAACTGCACAGGTTCTAGCCTCCTTGCCAGGGCTGAAACACAAGTAAACTCAGGTTGGTCCAGCCAACTCTACCAAAAGTGTAGTTGCTGCTAAGTGTTCAGCGAGGGGTTTACACCAGGGTGATACTCGATCCCCACCAACAGAACAAGCCACCAACAGAATGAGAACTCTTTTTCTCAGTACCTCTCCAACTGCCAGGTCCACTGTTAAGGAAGCTTGTACTTCTGTGAAATACATACAGAAATCCAGTGTATATTCAGCTCCTTTGAGAACTCGACTTGGAATTGCCTACGGTCAGAATAAGGAGAAAGAACAACACAATGTTATTCATGCAGCATTTCAGAAATAACCAGAATGCAGGTCTCAGTCAAATGCCAGCAGGAGAGCTGCACACATCAGAACACTGAACTGACACGTAACAGCCACTTCACCTGGGTAAACTGGTTAAAAAACTGTTTTGCAACATGTCCACAAACATAAAGAGGCAAAGGCATTTGGTCACAGAGATCCTGAGTATGTATATGCTCCCAGGTACTTGAGTTTTTAGGATGAGCAGAAACTCATGTTTTAGAGCACAGCAACAACAACAACATAACCCCAACTGCCTGTGACAATCAAACTTGTGGAATTTCCAATGACAGCTTAGTGTAGTGAGGATTGCAGAAGCAGGGCTAGTCACAGGGCAATTTCCTTGCAGGAAAATGCTTTGATCGTGTCAGAAAAGAAGCTGTAAGCTGGGGTCCGCCCAACGCCTGCATACCAAGACTGGTGGCCTCTGACACCACCAGGAGACCATACTCTCCCAGTGCTAATGCTGCTGGACAACTCACAATTGCATCAGAGGAGTGTCTGAACACTATCCATCTGGAAAAGACAGTGAAAATCCCTGCAAGACAGATTAGCAAAGGAATTGTCTCCAACACATCACTCTTTTGTACCTTCAAAAATCTTTATCCATATAAGCAAAATGTACTTTTAATCATTCTGACACAACTTAGACCCCAAAGAGAGCCATTCCTCCCTAAGTGCTGGGTCACGAACAGGGATCCTTAAAACAGTACCAAGAGAGCAGGTCTGATCACCAAGAAAGTATCCAGAGTGGCCTCCAGAATCCCCGAAAATTCTCATGACTACAAGAAATATAAAAAACAGCGAAAAAGTCAGATTCATACTTCTGATGCAATATCTGAACAAATATTCCATACTTTGAATAATTGTCAAAATTTACATGCATTGTAGCATGCTCTTATATGCACCATTAAGTAACTGATACTTTCCAAAATCTGTAAGCTAATTTGTTCATATTGGTTAAAATGACACCTTAAATGAAGTTACATGCAGGCAGAAGAAAATTATAACATTGTGAGATAACCTATACTGGGGGGCTATACCACAAAGTTCAGAGAGAGCAGAAAAAAGTAAGCATTTCTGTATCTGTAAGAAAGCAACACAGAAAAGAGTAAATTAAATTATTTTATTAATTTGTTAACATAACAGTAAATACAAACCATTGATACTGAATCTTGAGTGATAATTCTTAGGTATTCTCTGAATATCTAAGAGAACAATTCGGATTTATTTTTCAGTTTAAAATGAATTAATGCTTCAGTTGCATCACTTTTGCAATCTAGAACAATCTGGTTTTAAATTATAGTTTCCACAGGGGATAGGTTAGATGAATTAATTTTCTGTTGATATTCATAGTGTTCAAAAATTCCTTATCTTCTTTCCTCAGATTAAAATCAAAAACCTAGTTTGGAGAAAAAAAAAAGTGATGAGAACATTGCAAAGACTAAAGCACATATATTTCTTCAGTATGAGCACGCAGATGGCCTGTTTTTATGTTCTTGATATTGATCATTAATATTAATTAAATGTCCTTTTTTGTTTTTAAAAGCTAATGTAAAATGTTTACTACATTCCTTTTTGTGAGAATTTGTACTTTATTTTTTCACTATGATGAATATAACATTAGGAAAAGCTCAAGTCCAAAGGGAGAGAACTGAAGTAGCTGAGGAAGTGACATGCAATAGTTTGCATGGATATCATTGCACCCAAACTGTAACACACTGTAATATAGGGAGTTATTAAGAGGATGATACTACAAGGCAGTGCAAATACTTGGCCTTTTTTTTTTTTTTTTTTTTTTCAAAACTACAGACATCTTATTGGACGCCACAAAAAGTGCCAAAAAATTAGGTACAGAAAAAGTCTCCCAGCACAGCAACACAAAAAATTGCTGGGTTGGCTTATCTGTAATTTTTACCCAATGCACAATAGTCAGAGATGAGCTTCAAAGCTTTGGAAGGGGTGTGGCAATGTGGGAAGAGTTAACTGCTTAGATTCAATCAGTACCAGCAAGAGCTATGCCACCTTTATCCCCATTTTCAAACACGTGGGTTAACCACAGTGCAAAAAATGGGGCCAATATTATGCAGTCTACCTGGCTCAGTGAATTTGTGAACTTACTAGCATTAGTTTCCTTATTACACATGCTAGTCAGAAAATAATGCCTTGAAAGCCATGTTGGGGGACAGGTGTGATAGAAACACTTCTGCAGCCCAAATAAAAAAAAAAAATCTTGAATATGCACTTTAAAACCCCATTTCCATTATTTTCCAATGAAACATTCTTGGGTGCCTTTATCTCCAGTAATATAAAAGATGACAATCAGAAAGAAGCAAGAAAAAAGAAGAGAGGGAGCCACTCATTAGGCAAGAAGCTACTTGGCTGCACTGAAAATGGTCTCACACTTTCCACTAAGTTTATATTTTTCTTTTCCTTATATGTTTCAAGAGACTCCTCTTCCACTAGGAATCACAGAGCTCCTGCAAAGGCAGCTGACTGCACTTAGGTAGATGGCACTGATAAACTGTATCTTATTTTAAATAATGGTTTATCTCAACTAAAAGGAGTGCCCCAATCAGTCACTACCATAAACGACCTACATGATAGGGAAAAAAAAAAGTGACTCCAGTTTTCTGGTGTATTCCCTGATCCTATTGACAAGATGATGGGTTATGTGGATGAAATGGATGCATTGCTGCATCTTAAAAAGGGTCATTGTAGAAAGGTGAAAAAGTTTTTTCCCTTTAGAGAAAGTTTGTTTTACAGAAATAAGAGCAAGAGGAGGAATTTCAACTCTGGGGAAGAATATGCATATAATTCCAGGAATTCACTTGAGGGACAAATTCTGAGTTCAAAATAAAACAAAACCTTAAAAAATGAGCACCTCCAGGCTAACTGACCAAAGAATAAATAAAAAAAATGGAATTAAACTTCCTGATTTCATATGTTCAGCACTTTTATATCCTTTTATATCCTTTTGGCCTTCCATGTTCTGCTTCTATTACCAAACATCACTCCTCCCTGCTACCCCTAAATCTCGCTACTGTTCACTTGCTAATTTCTTATTAGTTGTCTTATTTCTTTGATCAATGTTGTCAGTACTTTAGAAAGGTTCATTTAGACGAGGTGATGAGTACTTATTCTTTAGCAGCCTTAGCTTAAAATCTATTACCACAAGGTTTATGTCAATTTAGTTGTGGAGAGGAACATAAAATATGAATCTATTGATTCTGTCTTTCCCTCTGCAACCTCATCAAAAGTAAAAGAGGACTTACTCAATGATTTTTAATTAACAAACACAGTATAAAACTTGTGAATACCGTATTCAAAGGAAGAGGCTCCAGTGACTTATCTCAAGGACACAGGAGATAACAGGGTTCCAGTCTCCTAGGGCAATTAATAGCTTCTAGTAGAAAACAATGGCTCTTAGTGAGGCACAATGTGCAAAACTGCTCATCACACCTGGGAGAAAGATAGTTTGGGTCAGCTGAGTCCTGGCACTGAAAAAGCTTATTTTCGCCTTAAATTACACTTGACCTTGTACATAGTTAAAATTAAACTCTTCTGTAGTTCTAAAGCCACTGCTTGATAGCAAAGGAAGTGCTAGGAAAGATTACAAAATAATAATAATAATGAGGAAAAAAAAAAAACCACAGAAAAAAAGTCCTGAACCAACAACAGTTAGGAGTGAATATAGTTAGAAAAGTATCAGATTAAAACTGTAACTTGCCACAGCTATTCCTTAAGAATAATGCTTTTTTTAGTAATAGTATTTCTGATTATTCCCTTCATTACTCATTGCACTGCTTAGATACCATGACCTAGATTAAGAAAATGGTGGCTTGACTTCCTAGTAAAAGCAGATGCAGACACAAAAAACCACTCTAAAATCTCTTGGACAGAAGGAACAGTGTTAATGAATTCAAAGCCATCTTCACTGTAGCCCAAAGTCACCTCTGTGGGCATTTCCAAGAAAATCTGTTTTAATTCCATTTAGCTCAGAACAAGGGAGGTCATCAGTCAGAATTAAGGGCAAAAACCCCAGAACTGTTATAACTAACATGGGACTTCTAGCCACATAACTAGGCCTAACTGATCCTGGTCTGGTAATACTGGAGCTAGAATTTGCTAGCATATATAAAGATTTAGTATGAATCATTCATGTTGGGAGTAGTATGTTGATGTGATGTCTGTTTCTTTAGAGAGAACTAGAGGTGAAACTCAGACTTATCTTCTGTAATTTCTGAAAGTCTTCACTACCAAAAAAGCCACACTGAGTGAGTATTACGCATGACTCACTTCTAATCCTCATTTTATGAATTCAGATACACTGTAAAGCAAGCACTCCCTCAACAGCACAGTTTGAATTTTTTTCCATATTGCTAAGGTGTTGTTCAATAAAGTGACTTTTTAATAGTATTAGCTGATAGTCACTGGTAGAAAGGTTTATTTCTGGACAATCTTTCCAACTTTCACTTAGTCATTGCCATCATTTTCTGCAAAAGCTAAAAAAAGCCAAGAATTACCTTAGTTTTATAAATGAGCCTTACTTTTTGGAACTATTGAACGCCTCATCACAACAGTTAAGCCAGGTACGTAGCTGTTCTTAGACACCTGAAGTGGCATTCCTGGACTGCAGGCCAAGCTTGAAACTCCAGAAAACAGCCTTACTGGAGAGGTTGTGTATCTTTCTCAGAACATTACACTGTACAGGTATTAGTAAGCAGCATTTCATATTTTCTTAAAAATAATAAATAATATATTAATGGTTTCAGAGGCAAGTCTAGACAAATTTTTATGGAAAAGTTTACTAGGAAAAACTAGCCAAATACTCTGAGGAGCTGTTATCAAAAAGGTAACTTCGTCTGTATTTTAGCCAAGCTCTACTTTGAGGACATACAATGCAGGCTAGAGTATATGATTGCTGTGAGTCACTTCTTGATAAAAAAGCTGAGGAGCTTTGTTTCCCAATAAGACTAAAGCAGAACAGCACTGGGAAAACTGCCTCAGGAAGTCCACATACAATATAAATCATAATCAGATTTTCCATACCTTTCTAGACGCAGAAACTCCTAAAATATCAAACCAAAGCAACTAGAAGTTGACTACTCAGACAACAGACCATGCAGGCATATTTCTCAAAACAGATCTGTAAACTACAAGTATATCTATTTATCTCTTTATATAGATAGCCATTTTATAAAAAAATCTGAAGAACAGTACAGTCTGTTAATGAGATTTCCTGGACAAACCCAAAATGAAAGCTAAACTAATTCTCACAAAAAGCTCACCAGAATTTTCTGTAAGTAATAACAAAGATGCCTCTTTGGCTCTCAGAGCTTGCTGTTCAAGTCAGCTATGCAGATACTTTATTAGTAAATGGACTTCTCTGGAAAAATTTCTACTTTGTTGTATCTACAGGCTACTAAGTAATGTGTATAGAACTCTGAGTCAGTACTAAATGCTTAAACCTTTTTTTTTGTGATGCTCAGATATTGCATATTACAGTGAGATTGTATTTTTGGCAGAGATTTGCAGTTTATGTACAACATAAATACTGTTTTATGATACATTTTTTTCACACGGCCTTCTTTGTAGATTCTACCTCTAACAAACTACTTGAAAAATTATTTCATATATTTCAACCTTTGTTATACACTAGCAGGTAGCATTTTTTCCCTACATTTTTCAAGAAGGGATACCTCATCATGCTCTTTTGATTAAATGGCCTGATGCAGGGTGGATGATATAAACAAGTCTTTGCATAGGCTTCAGTGAACTAGGGAAGAGGATTTGAGATGGGAATATAAAATCTCTGTGAGGATAGTAAAAAAGTGCTATCCTCAAAAATATCTTTTCTGTGTTTTCAATGCTAAGGATTTCAAAATAGTTATCATTAATAACAGACATTACTATCATGATTACATTCATGATAGTAACCTTCCTTGAATTTAAATTACATGGTGTGACTCACTGATCACTGAGAAAGAAAAAGTTCAAACCTTCGTTCACTCAATAAGGCTTGGATCCCAGGAAACATGTCTTCCATCATGCATTCCATTCAGAATTCCAACATCGTCTTCTGCTATTGTAAAATCAAACACCTACGGGAATGTATGTATAGTTAACTTCATGAACACAGAGAGAATCAGCAAATTCTTCTTATATTTTGTCACAGAAAAACACTCTATTAAACTGACAGGCTCCACTGGGTCCTTTGCTCCCGAGTGATTCATTTTTATTTGTGGACTGTTAAGATGGTTTTGTAGCACTCTGGCCTCAGGCAAGGGTCCAAGACAAGAGTAGTATCAAAGCTGCTCTTTTTGACAAGACTGTATATTGTCACTGCTAGAGGAATAGGCATACCCTGACTGCAATCCCTTTGGGAACCTGAGCTCCGTATTTCACTTACATCCCAATGTTCAGTCTAGAATGTTACAGTTCTTTTCTTCAGACCATTAGCAAAAAAAAATTATTAGAAAGTATCAGGACATTCACAAAGCTAGCACACCAAAGGTTGTATCTATCTTGTCTATGATTCTGCTTTGACAAAGCACTCATAGATCAGCTAATACAGAAACAGTGCTACAGTGCCTCAGTACTAACTCGAACTCGAAAGCAATCACCTGCCCTCATGTACAGGTTCTTACAGCCACTGCCTTCTCCTGTGCCGAGACCTGCAACATGGAATTACAGTGTCAGTGTTTTCTTAGCAGATGTCTTATTCAGACATTATCATCAGAAAGTTGCTTCTGTTGTCTTTGTCAGAGCTCCTCCATGTTCAATAAAAAGATCCTGTGGGTCCTGAACTGCTGCCAAATGAGCTCCTCCCATCCTGCATTATCCAGCAATCCCTGTCTGCTGGAATGACCCTTGTAGTCAAATCTCAGTGCTCACTTCAGCTTTTTAAACCTAAACCAGGGACCTGTCACACAACTAGAAACCTATATATTACATACTGAGGCTTAAATGAGAACTGTACTTTCACCAACTTGACTAGAAGCGGTAGAGACTCAGGCCAACACACTAGCATGGGGAAAAGAAAGCAAATGTGATAAACAGCACTCGATAACTGTGCCATTTCCCTCCTCCTCTCCATCTTAAGTGTTTTAAGTTTTGCTGCAACACATTTCCTCAGTTGTGTGAAACTAATTGGTGGTGCAACAGAGTAAACTCTGTAAGAAATAAAATTAATCTGGATTTAAAATATCATTGGGGAAAATAAAAGAATAAGGAAGGATTTTTAACATGGTTTTGTTCTCTGATCTGGTTCACACTACAGTACCACAAGCAGCTGTGCTTGTACCACAGAAGGCTGTGTGCATGTGAGAATAAATAATCAAGGCAGGAGCTATATAAACAGGCATGGCCACCAGCAGAAATCCTCATTAAATGTATACGTTTGCACCTACACACACACACACACACACACAGTGATAAAAATAGGAGACAGAAGTTTCCTGTCTTGCAAAGTTTCCTCCTGATTTGCTAAACAGTGCATACCCCAATGATATTTTTGGAAGTAACAATACAGTTGTTGTGGTTTCACCTCCCCCAAAGAAAGCACACTTTCAGATTAGAGAAATGGAGAGAAAAATCAAGTAATGAATTAAAACCATTTGGTATGAAAAGGAAATTAAAACAAGGCTGCGGGGGGAGGAATCATGCTGCCAATCCTCATTTGTGCCCTCTTTTCTTTGTCCATCCCCTTCATGTTGGGACCTTTTCTGCACGTTGAGTAGAAGGAAGAAGATAGGGCAAGAGTGAGCTCTGGCAAGACTGCGATTTCCTTGGAAGGTCTCCACCTCAGAGATAACCCTAAGTGAGTTTTACAGCTTTCACATAATGTTATGCACAGCTCCTTCCATTTGACCTGTGTACCTATCACAAAAAGGACTGAACCATAAACAGAGTAGGATGTTCTACAACCAGCAAAGTCATAAATAAAAATATTAATAATAAAAACCAACTACAAAAGGTCTTCTATGTATTTTTCTTTATACACAGCAATTAGCTCTCTGGTTGATTTCAGATATTTGTGAGTTACGGTTTTCTACTACATTGCAGTAATTTTATGGTACCATCATTTGCCAATTTTAACTGAGTTACTCCAGTATAAAACTGGCATAGGAGAATGGGAAGTCAAGCCAAAGTATTGAAAACTGTTATTTGGATCTAAGTCAGACTTGAGTGCATAACCAAATCTCACCTTGCAGTTTTCCTCTATCCTTTCCGCTTTTGTTGACTTTGGAATAGTGACAATCCCATTCTGGAAAACATAATGCTTCTTATCATTAAAATGTACACAGTTTTGAAGAAAATTCTCTCTCTCAAAACATTTGAAGACATTCCTCATGTCTTCTGAGGTTTTAATTTCATTTTTCTGGGGACACTGACATTTCTATATGCCATTTGCAACTGCAGTTATATACACTGCATTAATTTCCAACAGAGATCATGAGGTTTATGTCAATTTAACACAATATTTCATTCCTTAGTACTTCGTGTTGAGTGACAGAAATGGAATGATGCCTGATAGTGCTTGTAACACTTACTTTGAAAACATCTCTTATTAGTACTTATTCTCTAGAATCAGATTCTTTGCATATTTAAAATACTGGCACGATTTGCCTACGACATTCCAAATTTCCAGTACAGCAGTTAGTTCACACAGTATCAACATACGGAAGGCAGAAATACTGCCTGTATAAATTCTGGTTTGATGCACAAAACCCAAACTATTTGCATTTTTTTCCTGAGAAAGAAGACACATTTTTATTACCACCCTCCATTACCTGTATACTCCAGCGTATGCAAATCTGTGCTGGAGTTCTGCCATACTTCTTTGCCATCTGAATGATAGCAGGATGAGTTAGTGCTTCCCCTTTGGCCAAAGGACAGTAGCCTTCAAAGACAATATCTCTGCTCTTACAATAATCAACCAGCTCCTGAGGTCTTTGGAAAGGGTGGTATTCAACCTTAGATAAACAGAAATAAACTTCTAGTAAAAACCTTGAGAGTACATTTGGTAGAAAACATCACTGATAAATGAAAATATTTTTTTCTTTCTTGTTTTAAAAATACAACATTGAGTGAAATCACTGTTTCTGGGAAGTAGATGTAAATTATCAGTTTTAGAAGACACATGAAGTATATAAATCAACAAGTATTTTTCCTGTAATTGGCACAGCAGTTTACTGTGTATTTTGTTTCCCTCTGAAGCAAGGTGCAAGGAGCAGTTGTCTGCCTGACTTGCAGTTGGACTTGCACTGTTGTTCTGTTTTGTGTTTGAGAAATACTTGCCAATGCACAGTGGAAGTCACGGTCAGGTCATTTTTACTGGTGCTTTGAGACTACCTTCTCTTCCGCAAATCTACGTCCTTTCCTGTTTCTTTACTAATCATCTTTGAGTTGCACAGGCAAGGGGAGGGGGCTGTGCACGGACTGGGTCTGCAAGAGACCAACCAGAACAATTTGCTTAGGATGAGGGCCTGACCTGTTGGCATGGATTGTACATGGAAAATGCTGTATTCTGTGTGCACTGTCACCATAAGCTTATGCAGGGAAGCAATCTTGCTGTGGAATGAAGTGTGAAGGGGACCCTTTGTAGGAAGGTAGGTCACAAATTGCCAGGAGCCAGTCAGAAGAGGAAAAGTAACAAGCTACAAAGACACAGTTGTTGGGAGCAAAAGGAAACAGAAGTTATTGGAAAGTAAGGATCTCAGAGGAGCCACGTATTCTGGCATGTAGCTAAACCCAAAAGAGAACCTCTGTAATATTCCTTAATATGTTATTTAAATAAGTATCTCACAGTTTACACATTCTAAGAAGTATACCTTCCTCTGCATTCAGATGAAAATGGGTAGTGTTTCCTTTTACAAAATACATAATCATGTTATATATTTTTGTGACTGGTCATCACCATTGTTCCAGGGATCGAACTCTTGCGCATTTTGAGGAAAAATACTCTTCTGAACAATTACCTCAACACATGGAATCTGGAAAATTTCTTCTGCCACAAAAAGGAAAAATGAACATTTCCTGTTTCTCATCTTTAGTACATGTTGTCTTTGCAGACAACAATAGTCAGAACAATAGGCTGGCAGTCATTCAACATGTGCTAAGAAAAAACTGTGCCCCTGGAAGGCTGGGCTGAGTCAGCCTAGAGCCGCTATGATCTAAATTACTAGGTGGACTCGGGAACAAGGTTCAAGCAGCAGACATCCATGTCTTCAACCTTTGATGTTTCTTGACCTTTGAGTACCCTTTGTATTTCATGTTTATACGTGTAAGAGCAGTGTTTAGGTCATATGATTATTCACTTGTTTGCACCTGAGCTGACTACAAAATATTCTCGTATTTACGCAAAACTATGAGGGGAGAAACGAAAGAGCAAGCAGGGTGTACTACTAGACTGTTACAATAATAATAATAAGCAATTTTAGCAGACATTCTTTACACTAAGTATAGCAAATATTGTGGCTTAGAAAATATTAAATAAAGAAGGATGTATTTATGATCAAATGCTGAAAAATCTGCAGTGCCCCTATGGCATCATATGACTTATTTAGCATTTATTACTAACAACTGTAAGCAGGATTTATCTGCTGGTCTAGTAAGATTCTAGGCAGCACAGTTCCAGGCTACACCAGACATGTTTAAAGCAAGAGCAGCATGCTGAGATGTCCCCTGCCTCCTTCACAAGCAGAATACACAGCAACAACTACTTCCCACCTGGGAAGATTACACTTTCTGCCTTTCACTGAACCAGAAGTCTCCCAAATTTTGTGAAATGAGTTTTGGCACAAGCAGTTCTGTGTTAGTAGCAAGCATTTTGCTTCTTAAATATATTACTAAAATAATCAAACGCATACAATAAAATAAGCACTTTTGAATTGTTTTTCCTGCAAACATTCTGGAAGGTCCTAGTAGCACCTGAATGCAAGGGACCAGGATCCTGAGCTACAAGAGGCATAAGGTGAGTGGTCAGCATGTGCTTCCCCTCAAAGTAATAATTCCTACTTCCTGCCTTGCCCCACCCTTGCCATTTTAGTCACCAAGCTTTTCTGAGGTGAGGGCTGTCCATCACATGGTGGTAGAGGAAGATCTTGATCTTTTCTGGCACTCTACCCTGAGTGATTTCTGTGTAAAAACTGGTATTTTTTTAATAAAACAGTTTGCAGTTCACATTACAGAACTTTTCACAGCTGCTACTTGGTCAGGGGGCCCACAGGGGACGTCTAACTGAAGTGCTGTTTTTTTCAAGTCATAGCAAAATGGGGAAAAGCTGAGTCTAATAACAATCCTGACACATGGCCCTAGAAAGTCATACCTTGGATGATGGTACACAAAAGCCTTACTCTTTCCACTCTGCTGTGGATCCTTTTCACCTGGTAAGGTTTCCCTGCATCTGGAATCCAGTAATTTTCTCAGCGGGAATGCTGAGTCTTACAATTATTTCTCTTTATAAAACTGAAATACAAGCCTATAAATATTTTCTCTATAGAGGAACAGTTCAGGTGAGTTTATGTACAAAGGTGTTGTTTGCTAATGCCTTAAATACATTTCTACCTTGTACAGATTTACACAATAGAGCTCAATATTAATGGCAATATCAATGACATTGCTAAATCTCTCTGAAGTATTACACAGTAATAAGCACCTCTCTAAGAGTGAAAAAAATATGATGAGCATTTCTACATGGAATTCAGAGAGGGACAGTTTATATTTGCTTTCAGTGTATCACTTTATTAAATGAAACATATATATTAATTAAATACTTACAAAATGTATTTTTTCCCCTAATGAGTGACAGGCCCAGGAGTCTTCAAAGAGACTTCAAAGATTTCTTTGAGCATAAATCCAAACTTACTACTGCCAAGTCAATTACAAACTCTGGAACACAAACCTGAAACTTGTAGGTTATAAGATTCATTCTACATGATAAAGCATTTTCCATCATTTTACACAGTGTTTAGCAGTATTTTTAATAATATATTGTAATTTTAAAAGGTGCTTGCTTAGTAATAAATACCTTGATAATACTATCTTCTTGAAAAGACAGGCCTTTCCTACTTCTTCAAAAGCCATAATGATATCAGGGTTTTTTTTCCAGGAACTGAGAAGAAAGCAGTACTTAACACTTGGTTTGTAAAACAGACGTGTTGCTTACTTCTCCTGCCTTCCTACTTCCTCCTCTTTACAGAAAAAACAACTTTCAATTTTAGCATCATAAGAACTGTTGGAATTGTAAGAAGAACACCCAAAATTCTAAAAGGGAAGTGATTTTCTTCCAGTTGCTTATTTACATATTTAGACTTTGTATACAGTGATTATTTGCAAATGTTTTGTATTTAGAAATAAGTCCATTGAAAGAGCACAGTATTTTATGCATAAATATAGCAAAAAATTTATAAACTGTGTTATAAACTGTGGAAAGTGAAATAGGAACTCAATACAGCATTTCCAGTTTCAATTTGAATTTAGGAATTCATTAGTTATTTGATGGTGCTTAAGTAATCTCACCATCAGACACAATAACTCTCCAACACTAAGCAAGAAACAGAATAAATACTCTGAGGACAACCTGAAGTATGGTTTATAAGATTTCTATAAATCTAAAAGGTGTAAATTAATGCTATAACAAAACTGTTCAAAGTGGAGCACTTTGCAATGGCATGGGTATTTCGTTGGTGGTTGTTGTATTAAAATCAGAACATTGCTGTGCATAACCTTAAAGAAATAACTCTCCCACCCCCCAGTATCACCACCACCTCAACTCTGTCTCCTTTTTTTCAGCCACAGAAAAAGAATTCTGTCAAACAGGACCAAGAAACAACTTGTCTCCATGAATACTACTGACACAGCAAGACTGGTAACATTTGGACATTGTGAGTAAGAGGAAATTTCAAAACAAATTCAAGAATACACTTTTTTTCTTTGCAGTGATTTAGTAGGACACAACAACTCCTCTCATTTAACAAGCAGTAACAGCTTGTGCCAAATTCTAGCAAGACTTTGTAGATGTGCCTTTCTTGAACCTTGGAAAACTCACTGATTCTTAAACAGTCATCAGCCTGCCCATCTTAACACATATTTCAATGGCTAATTTTGAGTAACTGAATTTAACTATTTTATATGAGTTTATGCTAATTTAACATTACTCACAATTGTCCCTTAGTAACCTTTCGTCTAGTGGACAGCTAAAATCAGAGCTGCTTGGTTCTGACGGTCACACTGAGCAACCTTTGTACGGCTGTTAAAGACATTAAACCACAAACAGCTGCCAGAAATCCTGACCACCTGTACAAAGGGGAAAAGCATGTGCCTGTACTCCATCCATTCCAGTTCCCACGTCCATGTTAGCACAAGCACACTTTCTCTGGCAGGAGATGGTAGGAATGGGAGCATGAACTTCCAGCACAGCTGGAGGCAGAAACCTGCAACAAGGGAAGAGTTGTCAAGTGCCCTGGCAGTGTGCCGGTATGTAGGTGGCCGTTTTAATCTGCCTAGGGCAGCAAAAAAAATTTTGCCAGGGCTGTCACAGCACCTGCCTAGACAAGGAGTTCACTGAATTTAATGTGATCTTGAAATAAGAAATAAGGGGGGAGCAAGGGAAACAGCAGCCTTGCACGGATATGTAATTACCTGAGGCTTTCGGTGTTGCTTAGAGGAAGTACAAAAGCATTTGAACACAGGCTTTCCAAAATCCTGCTCTCTCTAGAGATGCTATATGTTCAGTGCTCCTCGAATTTTATTTCTTGACTGTTTTATCATCAAAAACTGCCACAGGGATCATTTGTTTGTGTCGTAAAACCAGACACAAACAAGTAGCCTGGGAGAAACTGGGGTGGAAAATAGGAGGAAGGACTGCCCTCCCCTTCAGGTCATCTTCCTGAATGGTTTTCAGTATGTACATACTAAAAATAGGAGAAATTGTATGACTAAAGCTAGTTTGGGTGTAGCCTTTCAGACACAGGGGTGGGGAGGTTCACCAAAAAACCGAAGTAAAAACCCAAACTCAGATACTTTAAATACATTTATCCACTCACCTGATTAACATGTGGAGTAATGACACAGTCTTCCTTTAGTTGCTCAAGATGGCTGATAAGAAAGTTGCTTACGCCAATTGATTTACACAAACCTAATGAAAAACAGAACAAGAAAAAGTTTTGGGACAATCTTAACTGTTTGGGAGGATGATTTGAAAAATATCACTTTCAAGAGACAAAATGATTGCTTGCATCATTTCTGCAGAGCAAAATACTGAAAAGAAACACAGAAAAACAGCACCAAAATCTAGTTTGACAGTATTATCTGAAAGCATGGTTCTGTCACAGTCACATTAGGAATCTAAACACACTGGAAACTCCCCAGTGTATAAAAACTCCAGGCTAAATTCTGGGAAAGGCTGATGTAGTATAAGCAAAGAACAATCAGACTCCACCAGAATGAAAAGAAGGAAATGGTGTTCCGAGCAGCTTGCCAAAACTAAAGAAAAGTGGAACATTTGCTGAAGACTAATAAGGTGTGAGCAATACAACACAAGGACACGCAGCCCAAATGAACTATGTCACATTGCTTATACTTCTACTGGATCACTGCGAGACGTTATGTAAAACTCGGTGTAAAATCTTCATTAAATGAGCAGTGTCTAACAAGAACCACGAAGCTTAAAATGTAGCTAGATTTCTCAGCTCCTGTTGACATGCAAATAAAATTAAATGGGACCTGGGTGACATGAAGGTTATTTTTTAAAATAAGCCTTAAGTGTGCATGCATGTGTATAAATTAGGAGCTGACAGACCTGAAAACAGATGTCTTTCTTCAAACCTCAGATATGATAAAGGACAACTCCCAGTCTTGGCCTGCCACATACACACCTCAACCCTGACTTGTTTGGCACAGTCTGGTCCTTATTCTGTGCTGGTAGGGAAGCTAGGCTAGTAGGAGTCTCCTTGGGCTGTGGATTGTGTGGACCACAACTCAGACTAACTTCTTCAGTAGGTGAACTTTGTCTGGATTGACTTGATCTGCATTTCAGTCTGTAATTCTACAGATGGCAAGCCTGTCTCAAGGTGTGTGAACACAGAACTCTGATCACTGTTGTTAAACCAGTAGTTATTTGAGCTGGCCAATTCTATAAAATGTATAGGCATGTGTGCATCTATACACAAAGAAAGAAATTAAATTTCTCTAGTCCTTTTGGAAATTCTGTAAGTGAAACTACAGTTTACTGCTAATTCTTATAAAGAGATTGTTAAGGTACTGAAAAAAAAAATCAGCTTTCATATACTTTAGCAGCAGAAGCAGATAACCTGCACAGCAGCAAAACCTGTTATAACACATACTATCACTTTTTAATGTGGCTTCTTTTGTAGAATACCAAAAGAAGAAAAATACATTAGCAACTCAAGTGCTAGACATCTTTCCCTTACAGAAATTATCATTGTTCAAGATGTATAACATAATTAGGTTAAAATCTGCACTATAGTGATTTGCATAATTTGTATGTAATCTGCCAGAAGGAGCAAAACCTTAGCTTTTGACAAACAACCCTTGAGTGTCAACACTAATAAATCATTATGCCACAGCAGTTAGAAAAACACAGTTTTAACACAATGGTGAACCAAAATATTATACACTATTGTTGAAAGCTAAGGAGTTACAAAACCCATGTCATTATTGCCCTTGAAGAATAAAGCTTTCATTTCAGGCTGAAATAAAACAAAATTCAATCACAGACAATGAATATGAAAGGGCTTATCAAACCTGTACATTTGCACAGAAAGCTTCCATTCTTTTCCCCCTACAGTATGCTCTAAGATGTTTTGCTTCTAGCATATTTCTCATAGGAGACTTCGAAGTCTGTTCCGTCGAGTTAGATTTCCCAACAAGAAATTTCAGGTTACTTATGTTTTGTGTTAAAAGCCATCTGAGCCATTCCTACTAAAATCAGTATTACAGCATTCACGTGTTTACAGTGATGTCACACAAAGCTGAATTCAAAACTGCCAAGAAAGTAAACATTTTCACAGAAAACAGAGAAACAATAATTAGAATTTCAATGTTTTTGCAGAACCAGCATTTTCTTAAAACTTTTTTTTTAGGGTAATATGCTTAAAACATTTGACTGTCATTAAATACTCATATTTAGTTTTGGTAAAGTTAGAACCCTTTGTTTAAATGCCATTGTTTTGGTTTTAGTTATAGTCTAATACATGAAAGTTAAAGTGTTTTGACTTTTGCATTAAATTACAATATGAAATAATTAAAACAATTGCACAGGGTAACTGTATTAAAAAAACTTATTTTAATGCATGGTGGAAACATGAATTCAACATACTGGAATTTTCTGAAAAATAGAGCTTAAATTTCAACAATCAATCAATCTCTACTCTATAGAGAATTGCTTCCATTTGCCTGAAGGAAGATTAACACAATTGCTCAGCATTGTCCAAATCTCAGAACAACTGTCTTAAAGCAGAAGATTACACAGGATTATTTCCACATTTACATCTGCTGGATTAATTCCTAAGAATGAAGATTTAAAAAAAGACAGACAAGAAAATGAAGGTCTGGTTCACGGCTGGGCCTTATCTGGCAGACCAACACTTGTGACTACGTGTATCAAACAAGATCCATGAAATCACATCAATAGTAGAAATAAAAAAACTACATATTGAGAAACTTGTGTAAAAGTGTTCCAATTTACTGCCTTGAAATAACCTGGAGGGTGTGGGGGGTGCACATTTCCTCACAAAGCTCAAACAGGTAAGTTCCCCGGTTTCTGCCATGGGTCTCAAAACCACTAGAATGCTCTTGAGGAGGGGGGCAGGCATTTGGGGTTTTTTAATACCTGTTAAGTATGCTTAAAAATCTCATTTCAGACAATTCAGGCACAATTCATGTCTTAGCTGTTATGACAGCATGTGGTGTTTAAGTCTATAGTTCTTTTTAACTTATTCAGTTTAACTAGTCCTGGAGTTCAGGCTTTCCGAGATAAAAGTTTGCAATGTGCTAGCTACAATCCCTCTAGAAAGTACCCTTAAAACATACATTTATCCTGACTTATTTACAAAGTCACAGAGCTTTGACTCAGGGAGAGAAAGCATCCTCCTTATCTGCTTGAGGAAATGAGTGGTCTGGCCCCTACGAAGCAGATTTTGAGAAAGTGCCAGGTGCAATAAACAAAGAGTTTGCAATTCCCCATTAGCTCTGAGGCTTTGTCCTACTCCTTGCAACTCTGACTTCACAGGCTTGAAGAAAAACTTGGCAATGCTGCTTCTTTTATGCATGCTAAAAACTGACTGACCACAATGGTGGAACAGAAAATTTCATCCAGCTTTGAAAACCTATCATGAAATTCCGCAAGACACATCAGAAAACATATTGGCAGGATAATGATTGAATATAATGGGAAAAAAGTAAGGATCTTTTCTATTCTACACAAAAAAATCTTGGCCTCCACCCCACTGGTAATTTCACCACACTGTATTTCTCCCAGATGCTGTGAAGCACTGGTTTGCAATATAGCTGCATACTAAGCCTAAAGTATTTTTTATGGCAATCTAGAGAATGATTGGGTATTTTTTCCTTTAATCTGTATAATACCAAATTATACAAAGTTTGACAGTCACTGTTACTCCTCCAACAAAAAAGCATAAGTTTAGTGTCTTGGCACCACAGCGCTGTTTTAGTACAATAGTGAGCCTTATCTTTCTCCAGCACTACTACAGACTTTTATCAGACTTCTAAATACTCTCTGAAATATGAAATGTACAAAGTTCAGATCAAAAAGGGTTTTTAAATTACAAAACTGGATACCAGGTTTGTGGAGCCCGTTTTCCTCCCCCTCCCTGCTGCTCTACATGAGTCAGAGCAAGGAAGAATTCCCACGTCCAGCAAACAGTGCCCATTCTGTTTTATCTTCTATTCAGGCCACAGAATAAAAACACAAATGGATCTACTTTTCACAAAAGGTCAACAACAGTAACTGTAACTTTATTAACGAAGGTTACACAGGTTAGAAAGGTCCACATTCTCTCTGATATGCATGCTAAGAACTTCTCTGGGGCTAAATCACATTACCCATAGAAACCATACAAGGTTTGATTTCAGCACAATTTCCTAAATCAGAGCTGTGGGCTGAGTGTGCCCCACATGCAGACTGAAAGCCAAAGCCTTGATAAATAAAGCAGACTATGCTTAGACACAATCCATAAGGAATTAACTTCTAAACCTATGAAGTAACACTTATTCCCATTTCACAGGCTAAAACACACAGACTCCAAAAGGCAAAGTGTCCTGTCTGAGACACAGGAACACTGTGGCAAAACTGAAAACACAGAAGCCATACCTCCTCCCCCAAAGGATTTCTTTTTAGCCTATTCATTGCCACAGTATAGGTGCTTATCTGTCTTAAAATTTCTTTTCTGCTTCTACAATTCTATGATCATTACTCCTGCTATAGATCATCTGTGAACCGCGGTAGACTGTGAGGACAACAGGAGAGGAGGTATGAATAGAAGTCAAATTATCAATTTCTGTGACTGAAAACTCATTACAAACATTCAGTGTACACAACTGTTAAATGGCTAACTCAATAGGATAATGCAGCAATACTGGCTTAATATATGCTGCCTCTGACCCCGGCTGCTCATTCTGATTACTTCAATGCAACACTATCTTAGTTACATTGACATATTTTTATTCTACAGTTACATTAAAAACCAGAACAGATTAAAAAAAATCCACCAAAAAGGATTCAGTTTTGAAAACAACCAGACAAACAGGAATTCTTACAGATTTTCCATTCTCTTACTCCAGTTTAAGCATGTAAAATCATGCTGTGAAGAGAACATAGGTTTAAAAAGAGGCTGAAAAGACATTTTTATATCTAGAACATTCTGCAATTGCTCACAAACATCTGGGTAATCAAAACTGAAAAAGCAACATGGTACAGAATGAATCCCATTATACCTTAAGCAAATATTGCCACCACACACTATGGTGTGAAAAATGTGATCAAAATTATCAGCAACTCAGCCACATACCTACAGGCTGTTGGATTATGTAGCACTTTGGAAGCATTACAGAGAGCACATAGTTAGATTCTAAACAGTGTGTCCCCTCTGTAACTGT